GAAGGCCTTAGAAGCTTCCTCAGAACCAAGGATATCTTGGTTATCTAGTTTCTTCCCCTTTCCAAAGATGGGGGAACTCTCTGGAATTTCCCTAGTTAGATAAGGCCATTTTCTCTGTTATAAATTCCCACAAAAGGTTAATGTGGAAAGATTTTTAATACCAATCATATTTGGACATACTTCTCCATGGGGAATACAAGTGGGGCTTGAGTTTCCCCTCTGACTTATAACTACCATGGCCATATAATTTATCTTCTAACCTGAGACACTTTTGAGAGCAAAAGGGATGCTATTAATAAGAGCAATAGGCATGAACTGGGAGGTACGATTGCCCTAGCCGGCTTGAACATCATTAGAATTCAAACTCTGCACTAAAGGGATGTGTGTGGATGGCAGACATTTTATGCCCACCTCTTATAATTGCTGACCCCAGTTATATGGCCTCTTTGAAGATAAAACATAGGTAGTTCCTTTCATCCATATTGGATAGTATTTGAATCTTTCCTTCATTCTTGTAAAGCCCAAAGCTCACCTTTCCCCACACTTATTCCACATTAGACCAGCTGACCTTTCAAAGCAAATGGAAAAAATACAAAAGCCCAGTTTACATTAATCCCACTGAGTTTTATTCTATTCTTAGCTTATATTTTTGAACAGCAAATCCTTTAGAGAATGCTGGGGCCCTTAATGAATCACTTGAGCAGATAAGGAAAGGGAAGGCTCTTTTCCCCCCTTTCCTTTGAGAAAATGGCAAAACATTTGTCTCAAGACTGGGGGATTGTAAGGTAAAAACAGGCCCCTCCCACTTACATACATTTATTTATTGACCTATTTGTTTCCCTCTTCCAAAGTGTCCTTGTAAGCATTATTTATCACTCTATCCCAAGATCTTGCACAAAGTAAGTGTTTTGTTTGTTTGGTTGTTGTTGTTGTTTTTTTTTTTTTATTTCAGCATGTTATGGGGGTACAAATGTTTAGGTTACATATGTTGCCTTTGCCCCATGTGAGTCAGAGCTTCAAGTGTGTCCATCCCCCAGACAATGCTAACCACACCTATTAGGTGTGAATATACCCATCCCCCCTCCCCTCCCACCTGCCCAATCTAGCATCTCTTGTATTATTCTGGATAGAACTGGAGCCCATTCTACTAAGTAAAGTATCACAAGAATGGGGAAAAAAAAGTAACTGTTTAATATGTGTTTACTGAATGGATGGATGGATGGATGGATGGATGGATGGATGGATGGATGGATAGATGAACCACAGGGAACTTCCACTTGTCCTCAGTGTGAACAGAAATTGATGGCCTGTGCTGCATGCACCCCATAACAGTCTTGGGACTAAAGAAAATTCTAGCTGGAAAGTCCCCTTCTAATCTCCCCTCCCTTGCCCTTACTTCCTTGACCAATTGTCAGTACTTGCACAAGCCATGTAGCATTCTAGCACTTCACTGTTTGTCTGAGGCAGAGAAACCTACCTGATGAAAGTCCATAGGCAACAGGAACAAAAAGAAAGGAACTGCTATACTCTCCACCTAGAACTGTAATGAGCTGATGTCTATAGTGTTGGAGACTAAGACCCTCCACATTCCAACGACTTGTCCTGACTTGTCCTGACTTGTCCTAGGCACGGAAAATAGCCTAAGATGAAAATAGCACCCAGCCCCCCAGCTATAGTTCCAAGAAGAATGCATTACAGCTTTCGGTGCCATTGAGATGCTGATTAGGGCTGATTAGCCCACACCCAAGCCTCATCATCCCCCCACTCTATTTTTCTGTTTCTACTTCCTTGTTTTCTGTATATAAAACCTACTAAAAACCAAGTAAAGTAGACCTTGACAATCATTCGCTTGGTCTCGTTTCTTTCTCTCGCTCATCTCTTTCAGGCACGGTCCCCCTCGCCCCCGCGAGTAACAGAAGGTCCTGCGGGTCGGGACACTATAGAAGAGTTTTTAAACTGTAAAATATCATTATCATAGCAATTATCATTATCTGAACTCTAAAGGTCATTGAAAGTGAACTGATAATAGGCAGATTAATAGGAGAAAAAGGCATACAAATTTATTAACATATATAGGCATGGGGGAATTGCAGGAGAATGATTATTCAATAACTCAACGAGGTCCAGATGCTTATATACTCTCCTTTATAGAAGAAGGGAAAGTGGGGGGAAATGTGGCCATGTTGTGGGGTAGTAAGGTAATCTTATATAAGGAAAAAATGGTCCCAATACTCAGACAATGGCTAGTAAATAATTCTCTTTGGAAATTGGAATATCATTTGAGAACAGACAATAGTTTGAGACAAAGTTCATCTGGGCTGTAGGTGTGGTACTTAATTTTTAGTCTCTTCCTCTATGATATAAGTTTAATCTTCTATGGTTAATGAAATTTCAGGAAGGGGATTGAGATCATTGTATTCCTCTTTGACAAGGCTGCTTTCCAGGTATTAATAGATAAGGGAACCTCAGAAAATAGAACCATCTTGTGCTTTGGGAGAGACAGATGATTGAGAGATGGCGGTGGGGGTAGGGGTGGTCAGAGAGACTTTGAGGCAGTTTCTTTGGTTCAGCATGTCACAGTGGCATATATCGGGTGTTGTTTTTGGAGCCCCAACAAGCCCTTAATATAAACCACCAGTTTGCCAAGAATTCTTTTTCCAAAAATGCCTCAAAATTTGACGGATGAGTAAATTGATACTTCCCTCCTGACTGTCTGCCCATTGGCAGAACAAACTGCCAAAGTACTTCATGTAAAAACACTAGAAACTAGAGCTTTCCGGCCACTCCAAGGAGCTATGAGGAAATGATAAACTAGAATACACACGTTTTTCCCCACATGGTTATTCGTAAATCACACTGTAGCTTTAATTTACTTTAAGATGATTTATAGCTAAGCCTTAATCAAAAGTCACCTCCAATGTGATCAATGCATGCTGTTTTCTAATAATCCTATTAGCTTAGGGTAACTTTTCAAGCAAACTTTTGCTGGTAACAGCTGTCATCTCTTTGGTTTCCTTAGGAACACACCCAGGGGATGCATATGATGAAAATAAAAACCAGAGTGGCCAGCATGTGCAGCACCTGGAACTCGCATACATGGCTGGTGGGAGTATAAAATGGTACAATTACTTCTGAAAACTCTAGAAAGGAACTTTGTAGTTCCTTATATAGTTAAAATCTATCTCCCCTATGATCCAGCAATTCTACTCCTACGTATTTACCCAAGAGGAACAAAACCATATGTCTACCTAAAGATCTGTACAAGAATATTTATTCTGTTTTATTCATATTAGCCAACAACTCAAATGTTTATCAAGAGGAGAATGGATAAATAAATTTTGGTATATGCATATAATGGAATAAAATTCAGCAATAAAACAGGATGCACCATGGTACATACAACAACATAGATAAATCTCAAAAGTATTATGTTAAGATATAAATGAGTACATACAGTTATGTACCACATAATGAATGACATTTTGGTCAATGACAGACCCAATATATGATGGTGGTCTCATACGCTCATAATATTGTATTTTTATTGTACCTTTTCTATGTTGAGATACACAAATACTTATCACTGTGTTATAATTGCCTGCAGTATTCAGTACAGTAGCACACGTGCAAGTTCGTACCTAGGAGCAGTAGACCATGCCATATAGCCTAGGTGTGTAGTAGGCTGTACCATCTAGATTTGTATAAGTATACTCTATGATGTTCAAACAATGATGAAATCACCTAACAATGGATTTCTCAGAATGCATCCCTGTCATTAAGTGACACCAGACTGTACTATATGGCTTCAATTATATGAAGTTCTAGAATCTGTGTTAATAGAAATCAGAACAGTGATTACCTGTTGAGAGGAAACATTGATGACAGAAGGTCACAAGAAACTTTATGGGGCGATAAAATGTTCTATATCTTTATTGGGGAAGGGTTACCCATGTAAGTAATCCTTTGTTAAATCTCATCCAACACTATACTTAATATCTGTACATTTTATGAAAGCTAAATTGTACTTTACTTTTAAAAAATAAAAGAAAGAAAAAGACATAGCAGCATCCAACTGTACAATTGTAAGGGACTTCAACGACAATCTTACTGTAATCTCCTCCATTTTGGTGCCAGAAAATTCCATATAACAGCCCAGTGGATGACCACTAAGCTCCAATTTGAAACTTACTGCAGGGAAAACACACAATTTCAGCAGAGTCTATTCTATCGTCTGGTGCTCCAGTGAAATCACACTGCTGGGGTTACAGCAAGTGTTACAGTGGGTTCCAAGGACAAACCAAGCGGCACAGGGAAAGTCAGAGAATCAAAGTTTATTCACAGGTAGGCTTAGAGGGGTCTCACCACCAAATTCTGAGCCCCATCTCCCCGATTATTCCCACTGTTATTAAGTTGGGGTGGTCCGAGGGGTGGGGTCTCAGGTGGCTTATGCGACACCACGTAATAGGTTAGTTGATGTGCGAGGTAATAGGCTAATATTATGTTGATGAGGGTCTTCCATGAGGGGTGGGGGTCTCAGGTGGCTGATGCCCCAAGTAATAGATGGGGGTTTCCCTTATCACTGGCTCATGTTGGGCTTGTAGTTATCTGAACTTGCCTCCACCAGCTAGGACTTCCCTTGTGAATTCTTGTCAACCGTGAATGTCCCTGTCCAGCTGTGTACCTCAGGATGATTAATATTTGCACTAAGCATCAACCTTTCTCCCAGTGTCTGTAGACACTCTGCATGCCACCCGTGGCCCCTGGAGTTCTCATATGAGTAGATTATCTCAGACAGCCTTATGAAATTTGGGGGTGAAATTACCCAGAGTCCCTTGCAAGATTATTCTCATATAAACATGTTCTATGAATACACCGGGAAAGAACTGCATTACAACACGAGACCTACATCAGGACAAGACGATCTTAGTTGCCTACGTACCTCATGTAGGAAGCCTTATAATTAGGCTGTCATACTTGATAAAACCAGGGCAGGGAACACACCTTAAATCGTGACTGACGTGCTGTTTCTTCCCTCTCTTGCAATGTTAGAACGTTAGGTTCCAGCCAGACTGCCACTGTAGGAATGAAGGGAGAACAGTGACTTTCTCCTCATGACTGGGCTTGAAGATTTTATGAAAGCTAAATTTCATAAAGCCAAACAATTCTATGGGGTGAGGGTGGGGCATTTTTGTCCACAAAGAAAAAAATTATAAATACACTTATGGGAAAGAATGCAACTAAATAAATTTTTTCCTTCAGAAATATGAGATATTTAGCTTTTCTGATTTTTGTTTTATTTTGTTTTCAAATAAGATAGGGCAATAACTTCATTGGATAAACACAACTGAATACTAAAATCCTTATGACTATGGCCTGAATGGGTAAGGGGGAGAAAAAAGGGGAAATGGTTAAAGAGACACCCCAAAGGTAAGCCAAGTACAAAATGGGAAAGATTTGTATGTTCTCATGTTCCCCACCCAAGAAATAATAATAGCACTCCCTTATTGAATGCTTACCATTGGCCAGCCACTATGCCAATCATCTCAGAAACATTCTGTTTGATAAGTCCTAGTATTATCCTCATCTTACAGGTGATGAAAGTGAAGCTTGGAGAAGTTAAATAATTGGAATATATCTAGAAAGTCGCAGGACCGGGATTTGAACCAGACAGTTTACCTGGTGAGCCTGAGTTTGTCACGAACACATTACATTGCTTCTAGTCCCCAAGCCCCAGGAAATCTCCATTATGGGAAAACCAATGTCTCTTTCAGAAGTTTATGGGGAAAAACAACCGATAGCTGTCAAATCGCTCACAGCAAAAGAAAGCAGTATCTCCAAGTAAGTTTTTAACCTTTCCACATGTGCATGGATACATGGCAAACAATGAAAGGAATCAAGAAGATTGTTGAAAATTACATGTTCTACTGAAAGCAGAATAAAAGAACTATCGCATTTTCATCCCAAGCCATTTTTGTGGGTTTCTATTAGGTTAGAAGAACTGTCAAGTAATAGTTTATCTTAAATTCAAAACTGACACAGACTTTAAAGTTAAATGAATGCAAATTAAAAAAAAAAAAAAAGCCAAACACTCGCCTGGTAAATTATTCAGTTCAGCTCTTTGCTATGCATCATCTCATTCCTAATACGTCTTTCTGATTATCACATTCGCAACATTCAGAACAGCGCTGTCTGGACTCACCATCTATCATTAGCAACTAAGTGTTCTGGCTGTTTACTTCCTATCTGACTGTTATTTGCTAGAAGAAGAAGAAAAACTTTCACACAGAGTTTTATTTTTAAAATCCTTTCTCAAAGCCATTAATACTTCTCCATAAAAATTCTGACTTTCAGACCAGGGTTTATCAAAGCATAATATTTTAAATGTTAAAAACACAACTCTCATACAAATATAAAGTGAGCACACATCACCGACTTATGTATCTCATTAATCAGAGAAGAACATGGTAGTAAGGGTGGTTCAAAGGAGAATCTGAGAGGCCAAGTGTATAAGGCCCTGAAAGAAGGAATGCAGGCAGATCAACTAAATTAGATACCAAAGTAGCTAATGTCCTTACAGAGCAACAAAAATCTAACTTTGGGGATTGTTTTACTGGACAGAAATTATTTACATCTCAGCCAGACAAAGACAGGTTCAAGTTATATAACCTTTCAGAGTCTGGTCCTAATCAAGAATAAATAGTCAATCAAGTGAAGGTACATTTCCCTCTAGAATTAAATAATCGTTGGGTGGGCCTGTTAGGAAACGCTCCCATATGTCACTGAAAGAACATAGTCATCCTTTTGCTTTATTTCCAAGTGTTAGATAATTATTCTTAAATTTTATATCTGAAGCATATTTTTGATTAGCAATAGGCATGGAATTTCACAGTTTCACGGTCTTCAAAATTCCCATGAGCAAAAGTATTCTTTCTAGGATGGACTTTGATTTATGACTCTGGACCTCCAGCCTGACCCCTGGTAGTCAACTTATTCTAGACGGTGTCAGTTAAGTGCTTTCCAATCCAATGACTCTGTCATCAAATTTGGTATTATTAACCCAATCCCCGCTTACTTCCAAGCTCCCTACTCTATCTTCTCTGGCATTGATTCCAAAGCCTTAAGGACATTGTGAAAAACCACAGCCAGGTGTCTTCGGGAGGAGGATATAATTGACTTTTGAGTCACTTTGGCTTAAATCCCTCTAGGTTCCCTGTTGATGTCATTGTTCTTTCTGGAAAGACAGTTGGCCTTGGGGGCTCTGGAAGTTTCTGCGTTCAATTCTTGTGCACACAGTGCCTACTCTCAGCTCCTCTTCAGCTGCAAGCAGGCTCATGTGACTCAGAAATGCTTCCTGACCCTGGGAGTATGTGTAGGACTTGGAATCATGGAAAGAACAATTGAGGGTATTCAATGCAGGAATAATAAGGGGAGTGAAGTCAGAGAGGACAGTAATGCAGTACCTGTAGCTTGACTAGAACCAAGGATGTGAAAAATAAGAGTGACAAGTAGGGGGTGTGGGTTCTATAAGGTAAGAAGAAGGTAACATCTGTTGAGTACCCAATATGTGTCAGGCCCTTTTTAGACTCATTTTGGCATGCCAATTTCAAATATTATTTCTTATTCCACAGATCAACATATTGGAGAGTGAGACACTTCACATTAGAATATAGCAGCAGAGCGGTTCTTTTCCTAAGACTGTATGACTTCCACTTCCCTTGTCAAGAAACCTACATCAGATACCACCAACTTTTCCCAGAAAATTTGCCCTGAAAGTGGCCTTAGCTGAAAAATAAACCCAATCTCGGATGCTTGGGTCTTACATGACAAACCATGCTTAAAATCGATATAGTAATTGTAATGATCATAACCCTAGCTTAATGTTTTCTGAGCAATTATCATGTGCCAGACATATGCTGAACAGTGTATGTGTATTGTCACCTTTAATCTCCATGACAACCTTATAAGGTAGGCACTATGATTAATTTCCATCTTGTAGACAAAGATTCTCTGAAATGAACAGGTAAGCAAGGAGCACAAGATCACAGAGTTAGTAAGTGGTGGCACCAGGATTTTAATCCAGGCCTCTGACCCCACATTGAAGAAAACTCTATGGAGAAAACCTGCTGCAATGACTACATGATAATCATGGCACTTCCGCAATTTACAGATTAATGTGCACCTGTCTCCCTGAAATCTCACACCATTTTACCTCCACCTGCCCAGTCTAACCAGAAGCCTAGCACCAATATGCTGGTGAAATTATTCTAGCTGAATAATAAACTAATAACAGCATTGCAACAAGCAGAACATCTTAATCAAGTGTGATGGTGAAAGAGAGAGCAAGGAATGAGGAGACAAGAAAAGGGCTGTAGACACAGTGGTTAGGCTCAGATTCTGGAACTAGACTTTCTAGGTTCAAATCCTGGCTCCATCACTTACTAGTTGTGTGACCTTTTTAAGCAAATTACTTAACCTCTCTGTACTTTAGGTTATCCATCTATAAAATGGGGATAATGATAGAACATACCTCAAGGTCCTTATAAGGATTAAATGAGTAAATACTTATCAAACACGTAGACCAGTGCCTGGCATATAGTAGGTGTATAATAAACTGAATCAAGGAAGTTGCAGGTGGGCCAATCATAGTCCTTGTTGATGCCTAGAACCACACTGACATGTTTAAAAATGGTATGTAAAATAGAGAAACAAATCAAAGACTAGATTAGCTGCTCCTTTACAGGCAAGTATATTGGGTTTTGAAAAGCAGTCAGCCAAACACTTTGAAACAAAATCACACCAAGGGTAGCAATCAGCATGTGTTGGGGGTAGGCACAGTTAAATTGTTTTGGTTCTAGTACAGCAGAATTGACATGTATCATAGTGTGTGTCTTCAAAATGCAATAACAGAGAAACTTCTATACATAACCATTCAATAAAGAAAGCTGAGTATCTCCCTAGTGTAACTCAATTTTCCTAGTGGGTGATCCATTCATTGCGCTGACTGAAAATAGCCAGTTAGCCACACAAAATATTATTTCTCAGGAATGGGAATTATCCCTATCTGGATAACATTCCATCAAAACTTTGTGGTGGGAGTTATAAAATTGCAGGATTGTGTGTATCTCATCAAGAACTTGGAAAGAGACAAGATTGGTGGGCTGAGGTTGGCCACCTTAGCCAGAGCCTCCTATTTTTTTTCTCCTGTAGATTGCTGTCTTCTACACAAACTAGACTCTTCCCTTTCTCTTTGAGGGTCCTTGCTTCATAAGCCTTGCTGCAGCGACATTTTATCAAGGAAACAGACTTAATGGAACATAATGACTTGCAAAGCTGGATCTCATGAGAGTCCCTTAATTGTGTAGTATAAAAGTCCTTGTCCTCGAACACCCTACATTGTTGCTCTGTTCCTCTGCTACCATTATTTATCTTTCATTTCTTATTCAACTGTTGCTTCCACTGCTTTTCTTCATCAAATCGTTTCTTCCCAGATCACTGCTACAAGCCAATGCTTCTACCTCATGCAATGAAATAGGGTCTGACAGAAATAGCTGTTGTAGAACATTGGGGAAAATAGACTGATAGACACAAAATTAATTTTTAGTTCCTTGAAGTTTGTCTAGTTTCAATTTAACCTTCAATTGTGCCAAACGAGCAAAATATTCTAGCAAAATTTAAAGTTTATAAAAATATAGTAATATGCAATATTTGATCTAAATATTTGATATGTGTATCCTAAAACACAGATTTTGCTGTTAAAAATGTTTTCTACATCATTCAATATGATATTCTTATATATAAGGCCTGGATCTTCTTCAGCTACCTTGATGTTAAAATGTTACATCAATTGGCGAATGAAGGCAGATTCATTTTTCAGACTGGTTACCTATTAGGATGCATCTACATCTTCATAGGATCTATGCTATTTCCTAGCTTTCTTTCCCCTTTCCCTTAATAGTTGGGATATTTCCATAGAAGCCCCTCCCTCTTGCCAAGGATCTTCACTTCCTGTCAACACACGTGAAACACAAAGGCTCTAAAATGAGAGCGTTTAACCTGATTATAAGCAAGAATCCCA